TGGTTGACAATCCTAGCAGCTGGTATCCGCCAAGAACTTACAATGTGCCCAACCCTGTGGGCTACAAAGGGACTAGTTCTAATTGACCTGGTGAACAGCAGAGACTGAGGTGTGACCCCCCGGGGCTTCTGACTCCAGAATGCACATTATTCGTAACTCATTATTCCACCCAAAGGATTTTAAGACCCCTGATGTATGACATGCACGTAATAAACTGTCCATTTTTATCATTACTATGTTACAATTAGTTGGAAGGGCAGGCAGGATTGAAAGCCAGACAGATAGGCTTCAGAGACTATAGTCTTTCTCAGTCTCGCAGTATTTGTTCCATTCAAAAAACTTTGCCAGGATGGCTTTTTGTTTTGTTGAATACCAATGATATATGGTGAACAAAATTTTATTCTTGCCCTCAAGGAAATCACCATCTCGTCTAGACACTATGTATCAGTCAGCCTTCACTAGACTTTGCTGCAGTAACAAACATCACCAAAATATTGCTGCTTTATAGTAGAAAAGACTTATTTTTTCACTTCCATATCTTCTTCATTCTGGAGTCCAGGCTGTTCTTATAGAAAGAGGGGAAGAACGATGGTGGAGTCCCATAATGTTCTTACACATTCTGCCTTGAACATGGCAAAGTTCACATCGGCTCACATTTAATTGGTCAAAACCAGTCACATATCACAGCCTGACATTAATGAAGGCCAGAAATCATGCTTCTCCCACAAGGAGGGTTACTGGGAAGGTCTCATTAAGGATAGGTTCAGGGGAGGGCATTTATCTGAACCAATAATTAAACCTACCACAGATGGATCCTTGAACAAGCAATTACAAGACAATGTAGTCAATTCTCTGGCAGGTTTTCCATTCCTTGATCAGAGGAGGGAAATACTCAACACTTTCAGTTCATTGTGTGAGTTTAGAAACAAAATGAAATTTAGAGCAGGTGTTGGTGACTAAGCCTCTATTTCCCAGAACAAGGATGGACAGGGTTGTAATGGATACATAGGAGAACCCCCAAGTCACCAGTCCAGTTAGAGGGAAAAGCATTGAGAGAATTCTTCTCTCTCCAGAACTGACCCAGAGAGTTTTGCCTATGGCAGGATCTGTGCGTCTACAACCAAAGAACCTGGGATCTGGGGTATCCCCAGCGTGGTTGAGGGAGAAAGGCCGATCTTGAGACCTGGGAGGAAGCGCAGAGGATGGCATGACATTGGGGGCCGTGTGGCACGGACAAGGCAGAGCTTGGTTGGAGGCCAGGGGGGTTGTATTTGAATGTTCTCCATGAGGCTCAGGGTGCCTCAAGCTTCCTGTTTGCAAGTAACATACAGAAGGTATAAAGAGAATTTTAAAACGTTTGGTTTCGACTCCAAAAAATCGTTACTGTTGTTGTCTTTAATTTGCTATGTTGGGATTCCGCTGAGACCCGAAGCTCACATTTCCACTCAGGGGGACTCGGTCACTTGCAGGTGAGACTGAGTGTCTTCTGGGTAACATCAAATAGACTCGAATTGCTCTTCCCACCCTCTCTCTTCCCCTCTTCTTTTGGGTCTCACCATTTTCCAGGATGCATTTCTACCCAGGAACCTCCCTCTGGATGTTTCTGGATTTGGTTGGGACATCTTCAACCCCAGGGACGGCAGAGGACCTTGGAGGTGGGGAGATGAGGAAGGCAAGGGAGAGCCGCTGTCTCTGAGCTCCTCTGACTTAGATGCCACGCGGCTGTCACTTCTACCCTAACACAGGCTGCCACATCAGCACGTGCACAGGGACTCCTGCACGAGCTGCCTGGGGAGGGGACGGGGACAGCAAAGTTCTGCTCCGGTCAGATCCCAAGTCTACCCTGGCGTTTCTGTCCAGAGTGGGGACTGGGGACAGCAGGATTCAGGCCCCTCTTCTTTCTGGTTCACCTTTCTCTGTTTTAGCTAAGCTCTCCCCCAGCCCAGGAAAGGTCGTAGGGTCTTCCTGAGCAGGGAGACACTCCCGTGAGGTCACGTCCTGTATCTTCTCTCCTCCAGGCCTACAGTGACAACTCCGGGTTAGTCCTCCACCGTGGATTCTCCCCAGGGCAAAACCATCATGTTTTTATTAACTAGTTAACTCTTCGTCATTTTTACAGATTCCTCAAGGGCTCATAACGTGTATCTCTAACTTGACACATTCTGTGGGCAAATAATGTGAAGCCACTTTATGTGTCAGATCTGAGGTCTGCAGCAGTACACCCTGCTGCCTCTCTCATTCTTTGTGCAATTTTTGCCATATATTTTGCTTCTCTGTATGTGATCAACCCTACAATTGTGGGGTTTTTTTTAAGCTTTAAATCATAAATTATCTTTTAAGATGAATTAAAAGATGAGGATGAAAAAACGTTTTGGTTACCCACAATATCTGTCTTTGCAAACTGCTTTTTCCCCCATGTTTGTTAAGAGAAATTTCCCGCCCAACACCAGTGACTTTCTCCCTGAAGAAATTCCCTGCAACATTTCTTTTAGTGCAAGTCTGCTGATGGTGAGTTCTCTCAGCTTTTCTCCATCTGAAAATAAAAGGTCTTTCCTCTTCATTTTTTGAAAGATATTGTTGTTGGGTATAGAATTCTAAGTTGGCTCGTTTTCTGCTTTCGGTACTTTCAAAATGTTACTGCTGCATTTTCTGGTTTGCAGAGATTCTGATGAGCTCTCCGACATCATTGTTTCTTTGATGGAACAAGCCTTTTTTCTTTGGATAATTTTAATATTTTCTCCTTCTCTCTTTGTGTGTGTGTGTGCGTGTGTGTGTGTGTGTTAACGTGATTATAACATGCATTGGTGCAGTCTGTATATCTGCTGCTCAGGATTTATTGAGAGTCTTTACATCTTTACTCCTCAATAAAATTTGGAAAAAAAAAATCCTCGTTCTTTCTCTAATCACCGTTTCCACCCTCACGTCCGCCACCCTAGATTCCAGCGGCCTGTGCCTTGGGCAGCTCTGTACCTCCCTGTGTCACCTAAGGCTCTGCGCTTTCATTTTGGGTGGTTTTTATTGCTGTGATTTCAAGTTCACCGGTTTTTCTCTCCTGCATTGTCTAGTACGATATTAATCTCACCCAGTGAAAATTTCATTTCAGATACGACATTTTCCGTCCCCAGAAGTTCTCTTTGGTTCTTACTCAAACATTCTCTTTTCCCCCTCATTCTGCCTGCGCTGTATTTTACAACCTTGGAGGTGCACAGCGCATCTCTCATACTTTCTTAACAGCCGCGCTTGCTAATGCCATCGCTATGGTTATTTCTGGATCTTTCCAAGTACTGATTTTTCCTCTGAGTCGAGTCACATGATCTAGCTTCTTTCTATATGTCTGTTAATATTTTTATTGAATATCAAACTTTATAAACTTGACATTTTGGGGTACCAGGATTCGTTGTACAAAAAAGTACTCAGATTTTTCTAGAAGGCATTTTAGTTACTTGCAGATTGGCTGGTTCCTTTTGATCCTTATTTTTAAAGCTTTTTTTTTTTTTTCCTTCCCCTGAGGAGCGACTGTAGTCTTCCTTCTAGAGATCTCTTGGCTTCCTTCTTCTGAAGCTGCGCTTCTGAGCCTTCTCCTGAATGTGCCAGTGTTCAGCAAAAGTCCCTCACTCTGCCTGATGTGCTGCCAACCACCGTGGCCCCTGTGATCCCAGGGAATCATCTGGCTTAGTGCTCCCCGGCAACTCCTCTGCTGGCCGTTTGGCTTGCCTGAGCCTGTAAGGTTCTACCCTACCTAAGTGCAGGGCTGATACTCAACCCTCAATTCAAAGAAACCCGGCCCACGTTTCTGGAACTCGCTGTGTGACTTCCTCTTCTACCCTCTGTCCTGCAAATCTGAGCTCACCAGCCTTCCAGATCTCAGTGATAGTGCTGGCCGGAGCGCTTTGACTGACTTTCTCTGTTGAAATCTAGAAAGTCTTTCTAAGCACATGGAAATGACAGGACAAAGCTTGGTTTCCCCTTTTCTCAAGGACCACAGATCCCGGCTGTCTGCGGCTCATGGTGTCTACAATACTGTCCGACTTTCTAGTCGTTTACAGCAAGATGGTAATCTGTGCTGTCTTCTACCTTTGGCCAGAGGCAGAAGGCTTCAAAGCCTTTCCTGTACACCAGTTTGCCAATTATTTCTTTCCTCCTCATAATTGTGCTTAGTGTGGTAACGGTACTGAGAACACCTACGACTTACTTTTTATTTTGAGTTTAAAAGCATAGACTTACCTGAAAATTATAAAAATTCTAGAGGGAAAGGCACTCCCATTCAAGGAAATGTAAGGGAATTAATTGAGCAGTATTTATTGAGCACCTTCTACTTGCTGGGTACCGTTCCGGTGGTTGGTGGGGACGGTAAACAGATAAAAACAAAACAAAGCACAAAACAAAAGGACCCTCTGCTCTTGTCAAGTGCATGCGAGAGAAAGTAGAGAGAGAGACAATAAGCACAATAAATAAGTGAAATCTTAAAATCTATAACGTGTCAGATGGTAAGTGCTGTGGGAATCGCCGAGAAATAATGACCCTCCCAGCCCATATGTGGCGCTGATTGGAAAACATGGCTGTTGTCCCTCCATAAACTTTAATGACAGAGGCCATCTGCTTAGAGGTGAAATAGCCAACTGTATTACCATAAATGCAAATCGAGTGGAGGACCGTCTCCTCATGCCCCGTTAATCTCTGTGGCTTACAAACACTCACCACAAAGTCACATCTCCACACACCTAGTTGCAACCTTGCTCCTCTGCAGTTTCCCCGGCGAGGCTCGATGCCCCGGGAGGCAGGTTCCATGTCTGTGTTTGATCGTGAGTGTGTCCCCCCAGAACCCCCAGAGGCTCTGTACTTGGATGGTGGTTCAGGAACACTGGTGCACACCAGTGGAAGGACCTGCCTGGCTTGTACCACCTCTGCACGCTCTGGCTCTGCCCTTGAAGATGGCCGGCTGCTTTCTCTTGGAAAGATGCTCATTGAGATTTCACTTTTCCACCTTTCTCTTCCCACAGCGGTGCAATCCTTGCACACCCTAAACGACCAGATTTCCCACTTCATTGTCACCAAGTCGAAGGCCCTGGAGGAAGACAAGGACCCCTTTCTACCCGCTGAGAAGGAGACTCTGAAGAGCTCCATGATATTGATGAGGCACCTCCTAATGGATGCTCAGGTAAAGGGATCAGTAGGGCTTCTACCACCGTCATTGTGGATATTTATTGTTGTGAATTTCTTCTTCTTCTTACTGTTATTATGTGTAAGCTCTTTAAGAATGTTCAGCTGTCAGACCTGCTGCAAGTTGCCTTTGTGATAGGACAGATGTTTTGATACGGTGAGAACTGGATTTCAGGGATCCGTTTTGGGGGTTTGCGATTAAAGTGGCTTGTGTTGAAGTCAAAGTAACAGGGCTGAAAAATAATATATGTGTGGTCTCTGAGAGCCTAACAGATCTCCCATTAGCCTTGGAAAAGGGAGATTCCATTTACATACCAACTTGGCTGCCATCAAAGCTGCCAAAGGCATCAGAGTGGAGCAGACACTTCTCCCGACTGCATCTCTGAGTGGCTAATGAATATTTGGTGTATTTGATGTACCACCCAGTAAGTGAATCAGCACCGTTACTTATTTTTTTTTAATACTAGCAATGAATTTATTACAGAAGGTATTTAGCCCATCGCGTGCTTTTGTTGAGATGTTATTTTTCAAGGTTTCTCCTGGTACACTATTTCATTGAAATATTTTAAAATAATCCATCTACTCCTTCTGTCTCTGTTGGTGGGTCTCTCCAGATATGTTGATGGGCAAACACCAGGTGTCTTCAGGGGATCCATAGTTGTCTGGGTTTGGGAAGCCAAGCTGTGCTAGATTTTTTTTTTTCTTTCATTTCTACCTCTTGGAACCGAGAAGCGTTTTAGGAGATGCTCGTTGGGTTCGGTGATTTTCTGGGTTGGTCTGCCCTGGGGCTTCCCCCCTCTGTTTTCCAAGGAGCAACAGTGAGGTCATTGTGGCTGGTGGCTGCCTGCGTTCAGCTCTGGATGAGGGGCTTTTGAACTGTGGTTTCTTGCTTCTGCTTCTCGCATGGTGATGTTGTATGTTTTAGTTTTTAAACCAATCCCCAAACCCGGACCTCGTACCAGTAAGACTTTAAAGAGGCGCGGTTTTGTGCATTTCTCACCTGTCAATGTCTGAAGCCACTCTGTGGGGCTTTTTGAGCCTGAGATTGTGGGGCTCCCCATTATGCAGAGTCTTTTATTTCTATTCACGACCCCCCCCCCCCTTCCTCCCCGCCTCTGTATTGTGAGCAGCCGTTCAGCGTCTCCTTCCGCCCCAAGCTTGTCTGGGAGAAAGGAAGAATTCTGAAGCTACAATAGCCATCTTTTAAAACTCAGAAGAAAAGGAAATTTGGAGCAATTTACTAAATAAAACAGAGCAAATTGTTCTTGAAAGGATTAGCTTACCTCAGCGCCTGGACCCAATCCTACCCTCAACATCCCAGCCCAGGGAACCATCTGCAGGAATCCCCAAAGACACTGTGCTTGAAATATCCACAGATCCCAAACCCGGAATGAACCACACGAGACACTGGCTGCAAAAAGCAGGAGGCGTTTATTCTCACACAGGCGCCTGCGGGTGCACAGCAAAACCTCAGCCGGAGCTTCGGTGAACTGGCACACCAGGCTTTGGGGTATAGATCTTTTATATGGAACAGGTGGGTTAGGTCTTAGCTTAGCACAGCAACAGCCTTCCTATTGGTCCCTCTGAATTCAGCAGTTGAGTCACCTAGGGGGGTAAACTTGTTTTTCAACTTTTTGTTCTCAGAAAAACCATAAAATTGCATTCTGTCCTTTCAGTTCCTGTTTTTAAACCTAGTTCTCAAGTTTAACCAGTAGGACTGTCTAAAAGGAACATCTTGTGATAGGGGGCCCGTTAGGGTTATCTACATGGAACATCTTGTGGTAACACTGTGCAACACCTGAGGTGCTACATGCTGCTGGAGGGGTTTTGACATGGGGGTTGGGTGAGGGAACATCTTGCAGCTTCAGGGCACAGGGGTTAGTTTTCCTAATGTTGGGCCTGGGGCCTTGGGGTCCTTCATGCTTACTTGCAGAAGCTAAGAGGGTAAAAGAAGCGGTACATTTTTCCCTCTCTCCCCTTCGTGTCTGAATTTGCTAATGCCTAGAACTGGACTTCACACGTCTCTAACATCCGAGGGAGCTAGGTGACGGGGAGCACAGCTACGCAGGAAGAGTGAGTTCTGTTTTTCTGTGACACACTAGGATGGCCGTGTTCCCGACGATTTATTGCATATTTTATAAAGAACTAGAAGAGTTCAAAAGCTCCCAATACAAAGAAATGGAAAATGTTTAAAAAGAGGAAATGTTAATTACCATAATTTGACCGCTATACATTTTATATATGTGAATTATCACACAGTACCCTGAAATATGTACAACTACTACTAAGAAGGTTTCACATGGCTTAAGGAAAGATTTTCCCTCCCTAAATTCCTCATTCACTTGATACCTTTAGACCTTAGTGGTAATGGTAGCCACGTTTCCCTTTTTTACTTAAGGAGATTAGAATATCCCATATAATGTGGTTTCCTGTGTAAAAATATTTTATTATCTCATTTTTTTTCCCTGATCCCAAATCGATATGCACTAGAATGTTCCCATTTAAGGTAACCAGAGAAAACAGAAAGTGGTTCAAACGATGAGTATCAAAGTCACATACTCTAAAATCAAGGTGGGTTGGGTCTGTTTCCAGAAGAAAAATGTCACGGACGGTCAGGCAGGAACGTCATGTGGAATCTGGAAATGCTCTTGTCTCTTTAGCCTCTTGGTGTGCCAAGATTCTGGCTCTTGTCTTTTAGATTCATAAAGGAGACAGTGGGTCCTAGTTAGTTTAGTCCTAAAATCCCACCCCCATATCTTTTTTCCCGGGAACCTACTAACTTTTTGAAACATTGTGGTTGTGATCCTCGGTCCCTAGCTGAAGTCATGTCACTCAATTCCCCCAGGCTCAAAGGATCTCTGAAAGGTACTGTCTCCCATGAGTGCCGCCATGTTTATAAGATGCTAAGGGACCTCAACATTTTGGGACTGGCCAGGGCGCTGTGTGGTTTCAAGTTTGGGAGTGGGCGTCTAGAAATACGTTATTTTGAAGAGAATCTTTATGGAACAGTTTTTTTGGAAATTCAGTTATTTCCCAACTATTTTTAAACCCTGCTTCTTACCTCACTTCCAAAGACAAATGCATGGACTTATCTCGTATTCTAAGTTCATCGATAGCGGGAAGTCGATTGAAGGTGCGTGCATGCTCCCGTCTGGGCTGTACTTGATGATATTAATGGAGGGCTTCCCGGAGCTCTGTGTGTGGCAGGATGCACTAAGCTCCTCACCAGCAGGAATGTGGTCTGCATAACAGGTCTCTCCATTCCAAACCCAAAGGGCCCTTAATAGTATTAGATTAGGATGAAATACTCTGACACCAGCTTCGCAGTTGAATGAAGTCAGGCCAGAAGTCTTCCAGAGGACCCCGAGGCTGCTTGGAGAGAGACTGCTTACCAGGCATAATCGATTCAAGTCACATCTGTCTTGGAAGCAACAAATCCTGCTTAGGAGAGTGTCACAGGCAAACGCATCGCTGTGCTATGAAATTCCGCCTCCGAGGATTATAAGACAGTGCCCAGCGCGCAAACACATCTCCCAAGCATAATGGGGGTGCCAGAGATGATCGGCCGGCCCGACGATCGGCCTGGAGAAGTGAGTCGGGAAGGCAGCCTCTCACGTGGGCAGCCCAAAAGGCCTGGGGTCATCTATTTGTTCCCTAAAGATCCCCTTAAGGTTTCGAGCGTGGAGTCCCCAGTGAGGCAGGGCACCTCTTCTGGTTTGAACCCGCCTCCGGTCTTCAGGCTCCCCCATTCAATGAAGGCATTCAGATGGCATTTGAAACCCGATCTTGTGGCTTTTATTCCTGAGAGCAGCATCGACACCCAAAATGCCGACTCAGCTTCATAAGCGATTAGATTCATGACACGGGCGAGGCCGGTCTTCCTGGTGGAGATTAATTCTTTGACTCCTGCTGCGTGACTCTGCTAAGAGGGGTTGATTGCAGGAAATTAAATCTCCTATTGGCAGTTCTCTCCCTTGTCCCACCAAAGACCTCGGATCATTATTTATTAAGCAAATGCTAGAAAAAACAGGAAGGTGGCTGTGTTTGCAGCAGAGCCCCCCCCCCCCGCCCCCCACACTCACACACCCCTTGAATGCTGAGAACGGAAGGGCAGGGAACTTTCCGTGAACCTTGGGGGCTCCTTCCGCTGGCCACAGGACGGAGACTGGTCAAGGAAGGACCCGGGTTTTATTGATCCATGGCCACAGCCCGGTGACTCCCCTGCCTAGAACTAGGCTTGGGCTGGGATCGGAGTGGGGGGGTTCTGTTGAGAGGCCGAGTCCCAGGCACACCCCTCCGGGGACCCATCTCTAGGAATGAAGTGAGAAAAGCCTTAGAAAGAAAAGTGACCACAGCGGTGACATCTCTGGTGGAGCCAGGGCTCAAGACGGGCGTAGAAGCTGAGGCAGGAAGCGTGGGAACCTGTGATGGCTCCTCCCCACCCTGTTCTTCCTCCTCGTCTCCTTCCTGTTTGATTCCCTTCCCCTTCCCTTCTCTCTTCTCAACTGTATTTTTCCGTCTCATTTGTGTTGAAAGTTCATTTGCCAAAGCCCCGTGTTACTCGTGTGTCCCTCACCAAGACAGAGCCACTCGCAGCCACAGGAGCCAGGAGGGGAGGGGACCCACAGGAGGGGAGGGAGCCGGGACCCTGCCAGGATCTGGGATGGGTGTGGATTGGTGGCTTCATTTTTCTTTGTCTCTCTCTCTTTTTTTCCCCAATGGCCTAGCAGACTCCCCGTGGGTTGTGATTCCTGACTGCTGTCGGTGAAATCAGACTGAGCTGATAGGAGTAGATGAGTTATTGGAGCCATCTGGAGGCTCCCTCTAGACTGGCCTCAGGGGGGCTCAGACTAGAGGATGCCTCAGGTCAGGTCACTGCCAAATAGCGAGGGAGGGCAGCTCCTCCCGTCTCCGTCACTGTCACCGTGCCTGGGGAGGACAGGTTGGGAGAGGCACACGTCACCCAGACTCTCCTGGTACTGGCACTTCCCCTCCCTG